GATCTGCCCAGGACCCTGGCCCCATGCTGTCTCCACCTTGTGACCCCACCCTGTGATCCTCGCCTTGGCTGTCAGTCCCACTCCTGAATGCCGCTCCTCCCCCTTCCACGCCCCCCACCCTTCCCCCCCCGAGGCTCCATCCCATGTAGGGCATTTTGGTGAGTTGTTGCACTGGGGGAAATGATCTTACAAAATCACCTTGCAATGTATAGGCTGGTATTAAAAATAAAGAAAAAATGGCAAGTTATATTTCCAGGATTACCTTTCTATCTTTTGAAGAGTTCTTTGTATTTTGGGAATGAATCCAACCTTTCCACAATAACACTTGATTTCATTGTCTTTACCAATAAAGAGGCTTAGTTGTTGCCCTTATAAGAACATAAGGGAAAGACGAATAAATATTAAGTATCGAAGCAAAAATGAAGTATAGCCAGCCTATAACTAGTAGCTATTAAATATCTGGTTCCATTAGTGTTTGCTTATATATTTAGCCTTTTCTATGGCACACATCACTACTGTCTTGGAATACCTCCCTTTTATCCTTAGTTCTAGGAAGCAGCAAAGTATTACCCAGTTTTTAAAGATATGATTGTTAGGTATAAGGAATGTGACTTAACCAGGCTGTATTCTGACTGGGACAAAAACCCAAGTTTCCTGCGTCTTCAGTTGAGCACCTTAAACAAAAGAATTGCTCCTGCATGATTGTTATAAGAGGTGTTTAGCAGTGAAAAGATTCTGAAATCTAATCTCTGCATTTTTGTTTTTATAGGGTACCCTTGAAAGTAGAACAAGCAAACAATGCACGTGATGCCTTGGCTAAAACTGTATACAGTCATCTTTTCGATCACGTAGTAAACAGGGTAAATCAGTGTTTCCCATTTGAGACCTCTTCTTTCTTCATTGGCGTTCTGGATATAGCTGGTTTTGGTAAGCGCACTCTGTTAGATCAGCATTTCCTACTTACCTTAATAGCTTTGTCTATTCTGAAGCAGCCAAAGGTGCAGTGATTCTTGCATGTTTTTATAGTAAAAAATTCTTTGATTTTTTTACATGTGAAATGGCAGGTACAATAATATATTAAAAAGTGGGTACTACTTTGGTAATTCTGAAATAGGAGGATATGATCCGAAATTTGATATTCTGTTAAGAATTTGATAGCTATATTTGTAAGTGCAAAACTTGACAGGTTTCTAATGGTTTTAGAATACTATCATTGCTACATAGCCACTGCTTTTTTGTGTGTTAAATTCTGTCCCATTTGTGCAGGACTGGAGTCCAAGAAAACTGCCTGACCTATTTTGATTTAACAGCAGGACTGGTTGCTCACTGTCGTGATTGGTCTCTTCCAATGTTTAGTCTTGTATTAGTTTGGGTATTAAGTACAGCTTACGTATTAAGCATTTGCTTGTATGGTGTCTGACTTTGGCCCACAAATGAGACTAGGAGAGATACCGAACGTACTTACTATTTTCCCATGCAGACTTGGGAGGAATGGTATATACTGACTGAGAAATACATGAAGATTCTAAATTAAGACTGTTATTTGGGCATGATTGACGGGCACTTAGATTTCATAGATTTCATAGACATTAGGGCTGGAAGGGACCTCAGAAGATCATCGAGTCCAGCCCCCCCACCCAAAGGGCAGGAAGTCAGCTGGGGTCATAGGATCCCAGCAAGATAAGCATCCAATTTGCTCTCGAAGGTGTTCAGAGTAGGTGCTTGAACCACCTCCGATGGCAGGCTGTTTCAGACCTTGGGGGCTCGGACAGTAAAGACATTCTTCCTTATGTCCAGCCTGAAATGGTCTGGCAGTAGTTTACGACTGTTCAACCTCGTCATCCCTTAGGACGCTCTGGTGAACAAATGTTCCCCCAGATCCTGGTGGTCACCCCGATAAATTTTATAGGTGGCCATCAGATCACCCCTGAGCCTGCGCTTTTCCAGGCTAAAGAGCCCCATGGCTCTCAGCCTGTCGTCATAAGGTCCGTTTTTCTGACCTCTGATCATGCGCATGGCTCTTCTCTGGACTCTCTCAAGCTTCTCCACATCCTTTTTGAATTGTGGAGCCCAAAACTGGACGCAGTACTCCAGCTGTGGCCTCACCAAGGCCGAGTACAAGGGGAGAATGACGTCCCGGGATTTGCTTGAGAAGCATCTATGGATTTTGGTCACTTTACTAGCCACAGCATCGCATTGCAGGCTCATGTTCATCTTGTGGTCAGTGATGACCCCCAAGCTAGTTGGCTTTAATTGCCTTCTGGAAATGGAAGAAGGGCATGTTCCTGTAATTTTGTGGAGGATGCCCACCATATTCATTCAGGTTTATAGTCAAGGCCTGTGGAAACCCTGCTAAGAGATAGAGGTTCAAGGGTGATGGTAGAGGAGCCTCTAAAGGTACAGCTCCCATTGAGATTGCAGTGTTAAGTGACTGTAGGTATGCAAAAAAGACCTTATCTCAGTATATTCTCATTGGGTGTCTCCCCATGGTAGTAACTTATAGTGAAGTATTTACTATTAAAGCACAAGTTATTGGTATCAGAAAAATGATCTTCTGATCTTTTTATACCTCTATTTTATGCTAAAGTAAACCAAAGAATTAGTTAAACCTAGTTTTTATTGAATAAAATTGTCATAGAGCTGAACCCTTTTGATGTTAAAATGTTGACACTATGAAGCTTGTTCTGCAAATACTATACAAGTATATTCTCAGAGTACTGAACACTTGCTTACGACAACAATGTGAATTTTTATTTTTCAGAATACTTCGAACACAACAGTTTTGAGCAGTTCTGTATTAACTATTGTAATGAAAAGCTGCAACAATTCTTTAATGAAAGGATTCTGAAAGAGGTAATTGATATTATTCTTCATGTCTCAGTAACTCTCTCATCTTTCTGTAAAGTAAGAGGATGCATAAAATTGCAGCATTCATAATTTTTACTTTCTTCTTAAAGATATTATTTACTTTTAAGTAAAAACTCATCTTTGTATCTGACCAGGTACACCCTCGAAGAGTGTAATTTGTCCTTTAAAATTAGCATTTTTCATTTGTTGAATATGTGCATGCATATAAACATCTACATCACAACTACATTTATATCACAAATCTCCCTATACCAATTACTTTTATTATCACTTACATTTTTAATTAGAATGTAGAGGGGAAAGATCCACACTGTGCTAGAAAACCAGGAAGAACTTGTTTTTGTCATGAAAAGCATAAAGTTTGAGTACTAGAATATATAGGAAATCAGATGGTGGGGATTAAAGAAGCTGTGACATGATATTGGTCAAATTACACACTACATTTCCTGTGCTGCTGGAGCCACCATAGGAGGGGCAGTATTTCACCTCCCTATCTAATGTCTGTTGGATTCAGGACCTAGGTGTGATGGTTCATCAGAAGGCAAGGCAGTTTTACACTTGGAAGGAAAGAAGGTTAAATTGAAACAGGTTCCCTGAGCGGTGGATTAATGGGGTTGGATTGCTTAGAAGCCCAGAACAAAAGTACTTCTGGTTGTTTGTTTACTGTTTTACTTCCAAAAGAGGAATTAACCAAGTTTGGAGCTGTGCTGCCTTGTGACAAGAGTAAAATTGGTATGTGTATGCAAACCATAACATGAAACTTATTCCAGAGTTAGGATTTGAATTTAAAGTGGAATAATAATTTTTGAATAATTGCAAGTATGTATATGCCACACTCTAAATCACTGAAAGACCAGCACGTTCCATTCTGTGATATGTCAGGAAAACGGACCTTACGACGACAGGCTGAGAGCCATGGGGCTCTTTAGCCTGGAAAAGCGCAGGCTCGGGGTGACCTGATGGCCACCTATAAGTTTATCAGGGGTGACCACGAGGATTTGGGGGAATGTTTGTTCACCAGAGCGCCCCAAGGAATGATGAGGTTGAACGGTCATAAACTACTGCCAGACCGTTTCAGGCTGGACATAAGGAAGAATGTCTTTACTGTCCGAGCCCCCAAGGTCTGAAACAGTCTGCCATTGGAGGTGGTTCAAGCACCTACTCTGAACACCTTTGAGAGCAAATTGGATGCTTATCTTGCTGGGATCCTATGACCCCAGCTGACTTCCTGCCCTTTGGGTGGGGGGCTGGACTCGATGATCTTCCGAGGTCCCTTCCAGCCCTAATGTTTATGAAATCTATGAAATATTCCATTGCTGTTCAGTTTGTAACCCTGAGTGCTGACAGATGTGCAGGCCCCTGCTTAACTCATGGTGCTTTACATAAAGGGCCATGAGTTAGAGCTCCCCACTCCCCCCAGCCCAACAGATGTTCGTTTGTTGGGTCAGGGGGGAGATTAAATCTGTCTGCAGGACCCTACGTGCAGCGGAAGAGCCACCCCTCTCCCCAGCCCCACTATCCCCACAGCTCTTGTGCTTTCTGCAGGAAGGAAGTGAGTATAGGGAGGTGGAACAAGCTGTGGACTGGGGTTTGCCCAGCCTGAGCGGAAGGGAGGGGGCTAGAGGGCCATGAAGTGGGGCGGCTCTAGTCCACCTGCCCCCTGCTCCAGCTCAGGCTAGGCAAACGCCAGCCTGCAGCTCACTCCCCTTCCCTTTTTCCCCTTCCCTTCCTGCAGACAGCCCCTAAGGTGCTCCAAAGTGGAGTGTCTTTGTCAGATCCTCCATTTGATGAGGGTTAATTTGTCGTGTGATTGGCCACTTTAAAAGTGTTCTACAGCCGTGCACATGTTTCATGGCATGGCTGTAGAGCACTTTCAGGAGGCCAGTCACACAACAAGTGTAACTTCTGTCTGCATCTCATGTTTTAAAAACTTGCAGATGTATGCCTACATGCAGCTGTTGCAGGAGTTAGTCATTGAACTGTATGATTGACTAAACTGTTGGAAAATCAAGTTTGGATTGGAGTTGTTTTTTTTCTGAGAGGCTTTTCTTATGCAAATACCCTCTTCCTTCAGCTTGACAGGCACATGACTTTCAAACTATTTCTTAAAGCCCTGAAAGCATTTTTTGGCTCTTATCCTTTTGCCTGCATTTCATCACCTACAAACATCTAGTGCTTTTGAAGTTCTTTGATTCCCTGATGCCTGCTGTTGTCTGAGGAAATGTTTACTCTGCATCCATAGAACTGCAGTGTAGTGTAGAAACATACTGCATGCATCTACATGAGATTTTTACTGTGCAGCAGACTAATTTGCTCTGCAGTAAAACATCACTGTCTACACGTACGACCCTACATCTGTCTACATTTATGACCCTATTGGGTCACAGTAGACTAGTAAACACTGCCTCAGAGTAATCCTGCTAAATTCAAGTACTACCCTAGTACTACCCTGTGGTGGTGTTGTTTCATGCGGTGCAGTGCACATGTAGGTAGTGATGGGGCTGGCTGAGGCAGAAGGGTGCTTTAGCACAGGGCTCTCAGCTAGCCCCGTGCTTAAGCACCCTCCTGCCTCAGCTAATGCCTCCTTGCTCCCAGGGTCTCCTGCCAGCCTGGACTGCTCTAACTAGGCTCAAAATGCTGCGCATTCAAATAGTGTGCCCAGGAGCAAAAAACTCCAGAGCTATAAGCTCCGTAGCTCCATGTTTCTTGCATCGTTGGGTACCTCAGCTTAACTGTTAACTAAGCTGTTGTGACTCCAGTATGTATTTATGGTTTGTATAGATGGAGCAGTGCTTTGCGAGCCCTTTAAAATAACTATCTTTCCTAGTTTGTACAGTGGCAAAAGAAATTAGTTCTCTTAGAAAATACATCACATTATACCAGCAGTCAGCAACCTTGTTAGTCTGCAAGCCAGAATGACTCAGCTCAGGTCATAGGTGGGTACTTGGGTGCATGCTAGGACCAGCTGCTGCCACCACTCAGCCCTGAGTTGCCAACCCCCGCACTAGCCAGTTGGGTACAAATGCACGTATTATAACAAAAAATCAATGGTTATGATTATTTCTTTTATTACAGTTATGTTGAAGATAGACCAGAACTAAGCAGGGTTTTTTTCCTTACAAATGTTAAGCTCAAGCTAACTATTTTAAAGTTCTTTTCTTTCTAGCTTTGGGTGATACTCTCATATTTACCCTTTTTGATGATTACAGTTTGGTGAGTTAAAACTTACTTTAGCTAAAGAATACTTCAGTATGTTTAGCAGTTCATAGTTGGTACAAATTTACTCAGACAAGCCAATAATATTAAGGTAATAAAACAAGCTGTTTTGTGCCTATCCATGTGAAGCATGGAAGAATATTTAATTAAAATGACAGTGTTTTAGATGCACACGCATTGTGGCAAGTCCTGAATAAGTCAAAGTGGCATCTGCATTCAGACATGCCTTATTTCAATAGTTTGAACATTTTTAGATGGAGGTTCAGTTTAGTGACTTCAAATACATATCTTGTGAGACGACTTGAATGTTTATTAGTATGTTTAAATGAAAGGTAGCATTGTGGAAAGATGGTGATGTTTCCCACCATAACTTATATTTAACCATCTTACTGGTATAAGCTCTAGCTGATGCTTCCCACAAATTTTGAGTGGTTGAAGGTCTGCAGGTTAATGACACATTAGAATTGTTTTGTGTAAGAACTAGAGGAGTTCTAGGAAGAAAGAGTTGAAAGATCAGAATTTGAAAGCAGGGATTCACAGCTTCTGACAATAGCCTTAACTTCTCTTTTTATCTATTTTTTACATTTTTAAAACAGGATGGTATAAGAACTCTACATTTTGATTAATTTATGTTGCTCTTATTGAGGACTTATGATTTGGACTACTTTTGCACAGTGCATTTTGAAGTTATCTGAAATATTCTCTCCAAATAATGGACAATACTTGTAAGGATAAGAGAGCCTGCTGTGGTTCAACATAACTGTAATAAAAAAGCAATTATCAGAAACATAGCTTTTTAATACAAAACCTACCTTTTTACCCAACTGTTTATATATTATCAATCAATTGATTTTTTTTTTTTTTTTCTCCCCCTTTCCTAATTCTTTCTGTCTTGAGTTGCTCTTCCAACTGTTTGTCGTTATTCTTGTAAGGCATAACTACTGGTCACCTGGGACTCTACAGCCCATATATGTAGTTTAAGATATCTGTAGAGTTTATTGTCAAGGGTGACCTGCAGTTATGCCTATATGTTCAGAGTGAATATTAAAAAAATTGGTATATATTTATTACTAAATTATTTTGGGGGGTGGGGGGGTGGTATTACCACAATTAGAATTTAGGTGAAATTAATGAAATTATAAAAACACACTAAAATACTTGGTAGGTTTTGTTCTTAAAAATGTTTCAAATGTTAACTTTAAAAATATTTTATTTTATAAAGCACAACTTCCTATTTTACTGTTTAGATGGCTGAAGGCAAAAGTTACTATTTAGGAGTGGTACGTTTAATGGACAAGTTAAACATGTACAAATTGTAATACTGTTTTCCATAATGTATTTCTGAAACTAAGAAATTTATCAAGAAATGTGTGGTAGTACTTTATGCATTCGTGTGTGTGTGTGTGTGTGTGTGTGTGATTAATCTCCTTCAGTAAGAACTATGGTACAGGAAGTATTTTGAGATCATTAGCAGATTAGGATCCTATTGGCAGCTAATTGCATACTTTGAATTAAAATATATTGAAATATATAAACAAGAGAACTTCTTTCAGTCTTGAACTGGGATGTTCAAAACAGATTGACCAAGATTTTTATGTCCATTTGTTAGAAAGCTTTTTTTTTTTTTACTATGGATATATGTTTACTCATATATCTTTTGATAGTGATCCAGTAATCTTGCTAGGAAGAAGACAAATTTACAAATGAGAGTCTTTTTCTTTCCATTAAAGTTTTTTATAAAGTATTTAAATATGGCCGTCCTATTGAAATACACCACCTTACACTTGTTATATAACAGGCAGTTAACCTGCTTGTTTCTACTGTGAGAAAATGGAACTGTATTATAGAAACTGAACACAAGTATTTTACAAAGTATGTTCATTCATTGCGATAATGAAGGATAAAGTTGTTTCTTGGATCCCAGAATATTTTCTGGTGAATGAGACAATATGCCATAACCAGTGTGTTTTTTCTCCTAAATAATTATATAGCTTTTTCTGTCTTAGGAACAAGAGCTTTACCAAAAGGAAGGCTTGGGAGTCAATGAAGTACACTATGTAGATAATCAGGACTGTATAGGTATGGACTTTAAAATTTTGATACTTTTTGATTAAAGTGTTATAGAACAATTATTTGCACTAGGGCAGGCAAAATATAATAAATAATACAGTAATTATGTCTTTTCAGTGACATTTCCAGTATTGTAAATTCTGCTCTGGGGTCTTATTCTTTGATAACACAAGTGTCTGCCTAGGTTCAGGGATGTTTCTGGAAGGATGCCATTCCAAGATGGGAGTCTTCTCTTTTTTTGTTTTTCCTGTGACCATTGTTTTAGATGACCTGCATCTTTCTCAAGTAGCACCTATTTCTGCCCACTGAGTAGTTCCTATTTGGGCTAAAGAGGCAGGTATCATCAAAACCCTGGACACTTATTTTTTCAGTCCTAAAGCTTTAAATTCATACACAGAGTTAATGAAATCATCATTTAAAAATAACCAAAGAATCCAAATCTTAAAGTAATAGACCAAAAATGTGGTGGAACTCTGAAGAAAATTCCTATTTGCCTGTATTTATATAGAGGCAGATCCAGGGGGGTATACAGTGTGGAGACGCACCCATTCTGTCAGCATCTCTGCTGTTCCCAGTAGAGCTGGGTGCAAGGGGTGCTTAAACCATGGGCTGTATGGCATAGCTTTGCAAGGTGCTGGGCTCTGCTGGGAACAGCAGCAGCAGGGGTCATGTGGGCTTCCTGTTCCTACACCTACTCCTGCTGCTCCCCACCATGATCTCAGCTGGGCAGGGGGAAGCTTTGGAAGGAAGAACCTGTTCTCTCAGCTGCTGTCCTTGGTTAATACAGACGTTGAAAGAGCTCCAGAGCTGCTGCTACCCCTGTTCCAGCCACAGGCTGCGGGGAGCAGCTGTGCAGGATGCTGGACTTGGCCAGGCACAGTAGTGGTAGAGGACAGATGCTTCCTTTTAGTAGTTGCAGGCAGGAGCCCAGCAGGGGACATCGGTGGAGTAGAGAAGGCAGGCAAGGACCAGATCTTCATGCTGCTGCTGCTGTTCCCAGCCAAGTGTGTCACCCTGCACAGCTACTTCCCATAGTCCCTGGCTGGAAAAATGGCTCTGAGGAGAACAGCAGTAGCAGCAGACAGGTTCCCTTCTTTGTGCTCCTGCTTCTTGCCCCACTCTTCCATATGCCTTGCTCTCCTGAGAGCTCCCACCACACGTTAGTGGCATAACCCTCTATATTTCACCCCTGGAGTGCTGCATCCCCTTTTTAGGAAATCCTAGATCTACTCCTATATTTTATATCGGCAACACTCAAAAATCCTAGTCAGCAGTTGAGCTTCATTATGCTGGGGTGCTGTACAAATATAGACCATGTCACAACACTTTCCCTGAGACTTGTGAACAGAGCCAAGTCAATTAATGATAACAATTTATTTGAGATGTATGGAACACAGTTTTTGCAGTATGAAGAGAATGAGATGAACCCAAGTAGATGGTGTGTTTATGGGGAAGAAAGGTTCTTCCTTTGTGTTGTCAGATTTTTTTCCTTTCCCTATATTGTATAAACTGATCAGAGAGAGAAAGAAAAACGGTAAAACAAAACTGTAGGCATGTATGCTGGTTTGCATTAAGCCCAAACTGATAGATCATTCAACTACAGAGTTTGGCCTCTTACCTTCTTATCCCATAAATCTTGCATTGTTTGCTGCATAGTGGTGCATCTTCTACAGGTGGGTTGGCAAATGACCTCGTTTCCACGTTGCCCATAATCTGGCAGTTGGGGCACTTTTCTGGAAGTGGGGAGATATGAGTTTGAATTACTTCATGCAGGGGATGGTATTGACCCTGGATCTCCCACTTACTGAGCTGAGCTCAAACCAAAGTAAACATACATAAAAGTTAGGTACTCTCTATACCTCCTACTTTCTGCTGTGTTTTAAAAGAAAAGGGATGCATTTGTCCATAGTGGGAGGAAGTACTTTGATTTCTAAGTCCAGGGAGGGTTTTCAGACTGTGGATCCCATTCTCACGTGGGTGTCTAAGTAAGGACTGCAGGAAGGTCTTTTAGAGAAGTGGGATTTCAGATATCCTTCTTCAGTATTCACTGTTACATACTTTAGGCATTTCCTTGCTCAATGTGTGCCTGTAAAGAAGCACACTGAACAGTGGGGTTAAGGACCTGATTTAGGATTGTAAATTCCACTTCAAAAGCAAATTAATTAAAGTACTTTTATGGACATGTCCTCTAAGAAGACAGCTTTTCTCTTTTGATGTGATCCCAGAAGTGGATCCTCTTTTTCTTCTGCCTTTTGCAGGCCAGATAACTCTGCTGTTCATGTCTCAGGCAGTTTAGTTCCCACCAAACTAACCTTAGTTTCTAATAACACAAACAGAACAAACTCAAAATCCGCTGTCCTGTCTGGCTATTGGGAGAAGAGTCACTTTCCACTCTGGCTGTCTCCCTAGCAGAGTAGCCTGACTTCTTCTTGCAAGCTGTTCCCTCACAGCTTGCCCTGTCTGCTGTCTTCTCTGGGGTTTTAAACTTCAGTGGGACACTCCCTCCTTAGCAGAAGGCCCCACAGCTGCAGATCCTTAACAGGGCTGGCTGCCCCTTTCAAAGGGGATGGACCACCCTTTTACCGTTCCTCTATATCATAGATAGAAGTTCATAGTGTGCTACAGGATACTGCTTAAATTGGGGGTGTTAAATTAATTTGGTCCCTTAGGTCAGTTCTAAACCACAGGACTTCTTTATGAGCTGGATCCACACTGTAGGGTGTCTCATGAGTTGAATGACCCACTTCTAGATCTAGCCTTGGGGCTTCTCATTGCAGTTCCCAAAGCTTCAATCAGTTAATGTGGCCAATGCTGCTCAGCACCCGCTATACTGTCAGGGTGGAGTGATGGGTGTAGCGGTGGCAGTGTTAACTCCTTGCCTGCTGGTGCTGAGTTGGTGACTGGCAGTTGCACTAAGAAGCCCCCATGGGTTGGATATGGAGGTGGATCCATGGCCTAGTGTTAACTCTTCTACTGCTGGCAGCTGCAGCAAGAAATGCCATGCCATTATTGATGACTCACCTCTACAGGTCAGATATTTGATACCTTTTGGCTTAAATTATGTAGTAGAATTTGTTTGTAATGATTGCAGTGAAGATGTTGGCAATAATTAGGCAGTATTATGCTGACTTATATTTGTATATGTATATATTTAAATATTTTGAAAACTTGATTTCTGTTTTGCAAATAGACTTGATTGAAGCAAAATTAGTAGGTGTGCTGGATATCTTGGATGAAGAAAATCGTCTTCCCCAGCCAAGTGACCAGCATTTTACTTCTGAGGTGCACCAGAAACACAAGGACCATTTCAGACTCTCGGTAGGTTTACTTTTGACATCTTTGCTATTTTTATATGAGTTCCTGCAACAGAGGCTAGTGTCACTTAAGCTCTGGATTTACTGTGAACAAAAAACCCAGTAGAATCTTCCAGAGCTTCTCATGCAATGCTCCTTTCTGCACATTTCATTCCTGTTTGGCAGACCATAGTTTGAGTCTCAAGAATATCAGTGATAGGCAACATTGTCGTTTGTAATGAAAAATTGTACTTGACCATGAGGATGGGTCTTTCCAGCACAGCTTCTTTGTATTTATAATTTATGCTTTTTCTTATAACATTACTTATGGAAGAAGAAAAACCCTGAGAGAGCTCTATCTAAAGAAGCGTGGTATACTAAGAAATAACGAACTGGGACATGTGTCTGAACTAAATAAAAAAGTCCAAACTACCTCATCGTTATATTGTTTCACAAATCATAACTCCATTTTAGGATGAAAGGCTTGTTAAACTTTCTAGTGAAGATGATACCTGCTAAAACCAGACTATCATCATGATCTTACAAAATGGCCCTGTTAAGCCCTAAAACATAAAAATAAATGAAGATTTTTTTTATTAAGATAGAGTTGATATCACCAGATAAGAACTCCTTTCCATACCTTTTTTGTTTCTCCAAGATGTTTAACAGACTGTTTCTGAGAATATCTGGGTAATCTTGGATTTCCCTGTTTCCCAGGTAGCGTTTCTCAGATGAAAGAACTACTACATGTGGATTTGTCTAGGCATAGTTTTGAAAGCATAGCACAGGTGTTTTCAACCTTTTTTAATAAGTGTACCCCCAGCGGCTGGACAGGGATGGGGAGGCTGGCGGCCACGTGCAAGCTCCACTCCCTCCCCCACATCCAGGGGCACCGCTGCCCATGACCCTGCTTCTGGGAGGCAGTGATGTGGGATGGTGGGTGACAGCACTCCTTCCCTGCCCGCGTGCACCCCCTAGGGCCTTTCCAAGTACCTTGGGGGTACACATACCCCCAGTTGACAACCCCTGGCTTAGCACAATCCAATGGTCTGTAAAACCTGTGTTGTTTGAAAATATTTTCTTACAGTTCAAAAATACAAGAAATTCCACTTCCATGATAACTATAGGCATCAGGTTTTTTTAAAAAAAAACTTTTATGAATATTTATTTTCTTAACTAGATTCCTACACTATGAGAAATTCTTGCTAAGGACTCTATTTATGTGCTAATAGTTAACTCCTAGCACTAGATATGACATCCAAATCTTCCACTTTGTAGTCATCTATTTAGCTTTTAATCCAGAGTCCTGCACAACTTACTTGTCCTGTGACATTCCACCTGCATGCAACTCGCTACATTTGAACACAGATCACGTGTTTAGAAAGAATCTCGGCTGAAAGATCCATTTTTAGCCTCTGTCTTTTGTTAGTATGATTTGCACTGTTCATCAACCACATGTTCCCTGTCCCCTGGGGGGAATTATTGTTGGAAGGATGGAGAATTGTTATGATAAAAGCTGGGTTAATCTTGGCAGTATCAGTGGAATATTTTGAGTTGCAGGCTAATGCAAATTGGAAAAAACTCAGAATCTGAGTGCAAATTTATAAGTTCTCTGAAGTGAAATTTTGAAATATCTCATAGCTCCAATCTAGGTTCCTAAGAAAGGTAGTAAATTGTAGAGAATAATGTTTCTGGCCAGAAAAAAAAATGTATGAAGATGTCAAAATTTACTGTTATGACCTTTGTCCTTCAGGAGTTTTGTTTATAATATGGATTTATAATTGCAGATTCCCAGGAAGTCTAAATTGGCTGTTCACAGAAATATCAGAGATGATGAGGGCTTTATTATCCGACATTTTGCAGGAGCTGTGTGCTATGAAACGGTAACTTTTTATTTAACAATAAAATCATATTAATTATTCCTGTTATATTGTAAAGGAGGGCTGTACATTTCTAGTGTTTACCTACAAAAGCTAAAAAAATTAGAATTCTTGTCAACACAAGGCAAGGTTGAAACTCTTTAATTTAAGTTTGAATCTCATGATTTTGTTTATTTAAAGCCAGAATTATCACTTCAGATCGCTTTGATATGTATTCTGAAAGTTTGAGAATTCTGATTTGTTATTGCTTTCCATGGCTTCAAGAAACAGATGGATATTTCATTTTATTATAATGAACCCCAAGGTGCCTAAAAAAATATTTACCAAATAAAAATTTAAATATAATACATGTGACATGACCAATAGCTCAGAAATAAGCATGTTTGGGACTCAGAGCCAAGTGGAACACAATCTTCCCATTCCACAGAGTTTTTGAGAATTCAGATTTGTATTAAGAAGAAGATGAGACTTTTGGAAATGTCCTGGTTACCTCCTCGCCTCTTCCTTCTCTCTCTCTTCCCTCTCCTTGCACACAAACACACATACCAGAAAGGAAGGGTGGATCCACACTGCTTTTTCAGACTGTGGGAGCAGCAGCCAGGAACTTTTTTTAAAACCCCAAAACAGGGAAGGGGGTGTGCCACTGAGCACAGAGGAAAAGAGGGTATTGAAAGCAGTAGAGGGAGAGGGATTCTTACCTGATTTGAGGACTTAGAAAAAAAACAAAACCCAAAGTCCACAGTTATCACTCCCACATAATCTGCTCACCCCAGTTGAGGGGGGAAGTTGGGAGCCAGGGTGCAGTCACCCCTGCAATGCTGGTCGCTGCTCCTGCAACCCCTTTACAACATCCTGCATTTGCCCAGGCCAGAAAGGGAGGGGATCCCCACAACATAATCACTATCCTGGGGCTTAGGGTACTCATCTGGAAGATGTAAATTCAGACCCCTGTGCAGCCTGAATCTATCCCTTCCACAAGCCAAATAAGTGTCCTAACCAACACACTATTGACTATTTGGAACTGGAGTGAATATTTCCATATTTGGGCATGATGGGGTTGGAGCAGAGAAGGACAAATATTTTCCTATAGGCTGGTGGTTAGGGACTTCCTGGGTTGGAATCCAGCTTGGTGAGGGCCCTAAGCATGAAGAAATTGGATGTTTTGGGGTGATGCTCCTTCAGGTTTTCACTAGAAATTGTGCTCTGAAGCAGAAAAATCTTCCTGTGAAAGCTGAAACTTTTCTGGGGAATGTACCTTGGTTTTTCTGTCCAAAAACATCCTTTCTGTTAAACAAACAAACAAACAACTCCCCCCCCCACCCCCCAAAGACCGCTGCTCTCCTTCATACATACTCTTATTATTATTCTACTAAATCATAGGAAAAAACGCTCCTTGATATAAACAGTATAAAGTTGGGTGCAAACTTCAGTCTTTGAATCTATTTAGCTGGTATGATTGACCTTTTGAAGTTAGTTAATTATTAAAATAACTCAATCTTTCCACTCGTTTACTGAAACTGTATATGCACTCTCCATTTCAAAAGTACCTTCTTAGGAACTCAACACTTGTGATGTTCTTTTAATGAATTACCTTTCCAGTGCACCTGAGTAGTAAGAGTTGAAGATGGAAACTAAGGGTATCAACTTTACTGTGGCCATTGACTTCATTGAGGCCAGGTTTTTAACGCAGGTTTCATGACTTCTGATCCTATGCTTTGATCATGTTATCACCTTTTCTCCCTTACTGCCATTGGTATGGCATCTAGGGCAGTTGTCTCAAATACTGAGCTGTTTGAAACAACAATGTGCATTTTTATTGGTGTCACAAACCCATCTGAGGAGGGATGCTCAGAGCCCCAAGTTTCTCCCCACTGCACTGCCATGCACCCCAAGGAACAGACTGAGGTTGCCCTGAGAGAACTTATCCCAGTACCTCCTGACCCCCCTCAAAGGTGCATATTTGCCCAGACTGCATTCTTGCATCCTTTTTAAACAGGCAGATTCATTAATCTGATACTCTGTCTCTCCTGTATGATCGTTTGACCAGGTAGGTGTTAGGCATCTTTTAAAATGTAAATATTTCATTGTCTGGTCACACCTAGATTTCTGCGCTTCTTAGTGTATTAGCATATCTCATGGAGGACATAAACACAAATGAAGTCAAATACTAATTCTCAGCCATGGACTCTTTTGAGAGTAAACGGCAGGGGGCAGTTCAAGTTTTAATCGCCTCCTTACAAAGAGGACCTTAGCTGAAGTATAAAAATGCATCCAAGTTGTATTTACATAAAATATTATAATATATACAGATAGAAGAACAACAAAACTGAACACAGCTTCACACTAGCTACAAGTGGTAACCAAACACCACAAGAGTGAACCTAATTTGGAAGAATATCCATGCATGGCACATGATGAAGCCCTAACTTTGTCTTGGGGTGACTCCATGACACCTAGGACCAAATAAAAAAATTTAGCACTGTGCTGGTTTAGATATAATGTTTAATGGTTTGCTTTTTTTTTTAGACTCAGTTTGTGGAGAAAAACAATGATGCTTTGCATATGTCTCTTCAATCCCTCATATGTGAATCTAAGGACAAATTTGTCCGGCAACTATTTGAATCCACTACTAACAACAATAAAGATGCCAAACAAAAAGCGGGAAAGCTTAGCTTCATCAGCGTGGGAAATAAATTCAAGGTATCAGAAAATACATACAAGTTTGGGGTTTTTTATCTGTTTTTTAAAATTACTTGAAATAAATGGCACTTAAAGGATGGGAGGTTAGAATGGTTATTTGACTTTCATTAAAAATATTCTCTGAAACAGCTCCATTTAAAAAAATAATGTCACGTAGTCAAATTAAGTTGTGTTCTGGGCTATGAAAAAACAAAAGATGGATTAAACTGAAATTGTACTAATGAAAAAGCAGAAGCTTATAATTCATTTTTAGCTCACTCAAATTGTTTCAAAAGCTGAAGTTTTCTGTGTTCTAACTCTGGTTCCTATAATTTTTGAGGGGTTTTTCATTTGACAAAAACTGTTCTTCCATCCTATATGTATTGTGAACTCTGGAAGTAAAGATATTCATTTATCCAGTGAGTTGCCATTTTCAGGATTTATAAACTAAGTTTTTAAAACTAGTTTTTTCTTTAAATATGTTACCAGAAAAACAATAGTCATTGTTTTGATAGAAATATATTCAGTGTGCGGAATGGTTCCTTTTTCCAATACCTAACCAAAGTATCTGATACTTCTTTTAATTTTCTCCTTTCTTCTGCTTGTTGTAAAGCTGACCTTCAAACCCTGTCTTCTCCACATGTTTCTGCATCTTTTTCTCATTCAGCAGTTTTATTTTAGCTGGATTATTTCAGCTCAGGATGGCTAGAGAGAACTATAGGGAAGTTGAGAGAGAAAAAGCAGGCACAGCCAGGGGCTGCAGGTAAATTTATCACCTTCATGGACTCATTATTTATAGAGCTGCTGCAATTTCAGCAAGAGCTCCTTTTTCAGCGCATCAGTCTATAAGTCTGTCAATGTCGTCTGCTTCTGTGGCATCTTGAATGTGTGTTACTTTCAGTATTTCATTAGTGCTAATTTCCTCCCAGGTACAATACATGCTACTAATAAACACTTTTAAAGTACTGGAACTTTCACTTGAGACTAACATTAAGAAATGTTTCATTACTCAGATAGGTCTTTCTATATGGTTTAAGACTAAGAGGTCGTAATTCATCTGTATTTCAAGAAGTGTGAATAAATCAGTTTTGAATTTTGCTAATTGCTCATGTTACCTAGAGAATGACCTGGAGAAAAGTCTTTCACGAGTCCCTTTCTTTCCCCATACCAGATTTCAGACACATTAACTGATGCATCATTTTCTAAATTAATCTGAAGTGAGACTGATCCTTTATGAGAAATTTACTCTAATGTGGGTAACAATGGTTTACATTTCAGAACTGTGAGAACCTAGAAATTCCACTATTGTCCCTTCCAAAATAAAATTCCTGGTATTCAAATTATTGTTTAATTTAGAGGAGTAATATTAAAATTAGATATGAAAAATAGATAGGCATCAGTGTAACTTGTAAAATATTTGCCATGCCCCTCATAACACTCCTTCCCTCATCTCAGCCCCTTGAGCTGGAGACCGCTAACTTTGTCCACAAGATTATATCCCATAAAGCCCTTGCCTTAATCCCAAGAAAGAGAGACTGTGGCAGTATTAGCTAGAGTAGCAGCAGTTGAATGTTTCCCTTGAGCCACATCCTGGATCTCCAAACATTGAGGTATAAGATTTCCTGAGCAGCCAATTTCCAAAAATTATTTGGTCTAAAATCTGATTCTTTGTTCTATAGTACTCCGCAAAAGGGTAAGGCAGTGCTAGGCCCTTTGGAAACTTCTGTATTGTTTGTCTTGCTAATCAGTGTTGTATGCAAACAAGCAAGTCAGGCATTACAGTGGAAGTTGAGGTTCCTTCTATTCCTTTCACCAGTATAACTCTTTCCCTTGATCTTGTTCCAGCACACACATCCTAGCCAGCCTGCAGCCTTAGAGTGGTTATACCTTGGTCTCCTGATACCTATATCTGTCATGTGAGGAAGAGTGCATCCAAATTAATTGCATAATGAGAGGGCTTAATTTAACTTCTCTGTATGTTTACATTTTTTTTTTTACATACTATATTTACTTGAGTATAAGACAGGGATTTTTTCCTTAGTCAGCATGGGGAGATAAAACTCCATATATAAGGAGAACACTTCATGTATAAGGAAGCCTCATTATATACATTGTCATTAAACTGCTGCCAAAAGCAGCATGCACTCAGTAGTGGAAATCAACTATGAATCTAATTAAATATGGCCAACACTGAGCATAACTATAAAACACCTGGTCTGTATTAGGCAAACATACCGATGGGAATCTTTTTTTTTGGTCATCCTTAAAAATACCAGGCAGGCATTCGCTCCACAGGGAACTAGCACCAGAGGTATTGCAATACCAGGCTGGCACCAGGAGCATCAGAGCCATCCCTGACAACCTTCCTTTGGTACCAAAAATGCTACCTTTGATATGCTGGTGGGAATCTAGTGCCCTTATTTTTAAGGAATATTTTTCATGTCCCAAGCCAAATCAATTCCAAATCCGGGAGCCACTCAAGATCTATATGTGGTCCTACTACCAGCAAACATCCTCCACCCCCTCTTGGGGCTTCAGATGTTTCCAAACCCTTTTGGTGGGCATCCTGTGTGCAAGCCCAAAGGCTTGGGGCTCAGATGCCCTCGAATTTTGCTTGCCCTCAGCTGTAGGGCCATAGAAGCAAACTAGGGAGGAGTCTCCCATTTCCATAAAGTTGGTGTAAAGCCAAGATCTTCCTACTGGAAGTGAAAGTGGGAGGCTAACTATGCCTCACCACAGCCAAGGTACTACCCCCTGCCAAGGAAGTGGTTTTCCCCTGCAACTAGATAAAAATGCCTTAGTGGTCATGGTATTTCCCCTGCTAGTTTTGGGGGATTTTTTTTTTAAGGAAAATGTTTTATGTTCCAAGCCAAGTCAGCCAAATCCATTCCAAATCTGCGAGTCATTCAAGAACCATATGTGGCCCTACTACCAGCAAACACCCTCCACCTGTGCCTGGGGCTTCAGATGCTTCCAAATCATTTGGCAGGAATCTTAGGTGCAGGCCTAAACCCGCACCTGGGTTCGGGTGCCCCTGAGTTTTGCTTGCCCTTAGCTGTATGGGTCCAGGAGCAAGCTAGGAAAGAATCTCCCATTTTTTCATAAAGTGGCAGGTTAATTGTACATTACCTTCACAGGTACTACCCTGTGCCAGAAAAGCAGTTATCTACAGCAACTAGGAAAGTCACCATAGTGATCATGTTGCTTCCCCATGTTGGGTACAGATAAGCCAGTACAGCCCATTTGATGTATGGTAGTGCCCATTGTGCTTAGTACCCCTCAGCACTGATTCTTTTACAAGTTATGGTGAGACGCTACATTGAATACTTTTTGACTTCACTTCCACAGCTGAGCTGCACCTTTTCCCTTTTCCAATGATTCCTGTTTCTTCACTAGCCTTGAAGGTCTGGCAAAGATCACCAAATGGGGCCCCAAACAGTTCACCCTTTGTCACCCCCTCTCTCAGCCTGTCACATATGATTAGTGTGGCCCCACCCTCCATGAAGTGGTGCCAGACCAGGTTGCCATGTGCCTCATTTGCATATAATTATTTTTTTGGAGGATCCCAGGACTTGTGACAAGGATACCCAGTTTCAGTCCTGACTGGCGAGGCTAATTTAACACATGGACCCTCTGTGAGGTGTATCTGGAGTATACACACACAATGAGCAGTGCTGAGCTATGAGGTCACCATGGCTTTAAATGCTGTTGGCTGCTGGGGCCCAGCCCAATGAATTATATGATAAATCATGAGCCTTTTGACTTTGAATTAATATGTATAGTTTACACTAAAAGTGCTGCTTAAAAATGTGTTTATGGAGTACCTGTGTTAAAACTTGCAGCAGGTTTAAAAAGATAAACTGTATGAATTTAGAATGAAACTATGTCTATGAGTACCTGTAATAATTTGCTTATATGCAAATTACTACAGGTATGTGTATTTTAAGGTCAGTATTTTCATATTTGCCCCTTGCTTCCATGTGCTCAGGGAGAAAAGGGTCTGATGGTAAGGAGGGTGGGGGGGAAAGGGGCTGCAGGGAGAACAAGTTGGGGGGCACATGTCAAGGGCGGTGCCTGCCCAGATTTATTTTCCCTGCTGTTGCAGTGGGAAGGGGACAAATTTTGAGGCAAACTTCAATAATTAGATTCTAAAACATGGAAAATGATAACAAATTTATAAATTTTCCATATATAGAATCCAATTATTGGGGAGTTGTCTTATATTTATGGGCATCTTGCCGTTTAGTAAATATGGTGTTTTATAGATGAAAATGAAGGCATATTTTCTGATTTACCTTATTTAAAGTGTAGTTCAGAATTAAAATAAACCCAAAAAGTTGAAAGTTGTAGTTGGCCAAAAGTGTAGGATACTCATCTAATTAAAATGTAGAATTAAAGGTTTTTGTTTTTTGTTTTGTTTTTAAAAAGTTATATTCAAACAACAATAGTTATATACATGGTAATAGTCATGAAGGTTAACACAAGCAATTTCCATGGTATCACTCATGCACGCTTGCATGATGTCTGTTTGAGGATTTGGGTTACTTTTAGCTTACAAAATACAAATAAATTACTAACACTAAACATGCATGCTATGGAGCTGTTACTGTGCTGTGTATCAGATTTATAGCGGTCGTAACAAGATGCTCTTGCATCCTTTATTTTGAAATGCATATGTTCTTTTATAGATGCAGCTAAATTTGCTTCTTGAAAAGCTTCGCAGTACTGTAAGTATAAATATATATAATTGTCCACTAAATATTTTCACTTATGAAAGTATTAAATTTTAATTAAATATAACAAAGTTTGGCTTAAATATCTTGCTATACTTCTTATTTTTATTTAGTTTTTATTTTTATTCAATATATTTTTGTAATTAGATTTCATTTCTGAGGTGTTATGTTAAACAAGTAATGAATAGCAGCAGATTCACTAACCACTAAGAGTGTTCATGAGTAACAGTTGATCCATTCCCAAACATCATGAACTGGGAACTAGTTCACAGCTGTCAGGGTAAGAAGTGTCCACATATACAGTGTCCTGGCATTCCATGTATTCAGTCACTTTCTAGGCACTGTGTACTTCATCACCAGGAGGTGGAAGTGAACACCCAGCCCTTCATACCTCACAGTGTGCATGGCAGAGAGGAGTACTTGTACCCTGCTCTGCATCCATCACGGGGTGGGTGACATAGCTGGGAATGTTTTCACTTTCATGCTTTACCTGGTCTTTTAAACCTGAGTTCCCTTAAGTGCAGTAGTTTGCACTTGACCAAAATGCAGTGGGCTTGCCTGACTCGAGGTTCTTCAGATGCGGGGTGGTGGGGGGAGTACCTGGATCTACATTTTTGGGTTCCCAGAGGCAGTTGCATACATGACTGGCCTCAATTGAGTAGGGAGCAGGAACTCAGCTTGCTTAACCAGCAGTGTAGAGGACCTCACTGATAAAGTGCCAACAAAAGGGAAGAAAGGGGGGAATAGAGTTCTAGTCATGCATCAGAGTGGCCAGTTACAGCAGGCTCAGGGGGTTCAGCCTTGATGTCTAATACCCCTGGTGTCCAACTCACTTGCTGTGGTATCCAGCCTCCCTACTCTCTTGCCCCTTGCCTGCCATTCCTTTGGTGATGATGATATACTTGGGAGGCTACCTCTAGAGACAGCCTTGGCTCACCCAGCACCTTCCTTCTCAACTCTGTGTTGGGACTTCTCCACCCCAAATTCTATCCTAGGGCTTCTCTGCCTGAACTTGGCTTCTCTCGGCTGTGGCCTCACTGACGCTCTGTCTTGTGCTTAGCCCTGACACTACTGGCCTTGGGTGAGACCTGACCCTTGCTGTGCCTTTAAGGGCTTTTGTCATGACCTCCAGCCACCCCCATAGCCACCCTCATGCCTGGGAGTTAGTACTCCGTATGCATTCACTATGCTAGGCTCTTCTTCCACTCACTCTATCCTCTGGCCCCTAGCAGGACTGCTTTAGTCTACTCTAGCTCAGTAAAGCTGAAGGCTCCAGACTCCTGGGTTTCTACCTGCTCACTTCCCTGGGCCCTGGTTCATCAGAGCTCTATAGGTTGAGTGCCCCTCCAGCACTCCCCTCCCTCCCCCTCCCCCCATGGCCTCCAAACTACCCCCCATAGCCACACCTAGGACTCGGGTAAGAATAAACATGAAACAGAAATTACTCAGTTACAGCTTAGACACAAACCCTGCCTTGAGTCTTAACTGCTGCAGTATGGCCCCTACAGCTCCTACACTAAGGAGCTGTTGCATTCCCCTGCCTCTAATGTAACTTCTTTTTCTGGCAGCTAGCTTTATCTAGAGCTCCCCACCATACAGCCTGCAGTCCTAGACTGCCTGCCCCAGCTCAGCACTTCACCCAAGTTGTGCCCCTTTTGGGTCAACTGCCAATAGCCTGTGAAAATGGCCCTGGGACTTCTACTCAGCCTGATTGGCTTGGTGGTCCCTCCGCCGTGCAGTCTCAGGGCTTCAGGGTTTTGGTTTTTGTTGCTGGCTAATCCAGAGTCCTGCTGCTGTGTGTTTCAAAAGTCATATCCCCATGAGGACCTGCTCTTCTTTCCTGTTTCCCCTCGCTCTGGAGGTAACAGGGTTGGGGCTCTATGTTACAAGGAGGAGGAGCAATGCAGTGTGAGATGTCGGGAGGATTGACTAGACATTCATGGAGTGTCATGGAATGGAACATCTAACATTGAAACAGTCCATAGTGACCTGGTTTAGAAAGTGTTTTATTTTTCAGGTATACTTTTGAACTGTTTTAGATAGCTTTAAACTGTCTACTTGCTTCAGATTTGAACTGCATTTAAACCTATCTAAATGTTACATGTATACAGGCCCTAAAATAAATGAAAAAATTGCTTTATATTATTGCATGGAAATGCCACAAACTATATAAACACTGATATAGTATCAACTCTTCAATTCTTTTTTGGGTCACTTTTTTTTTTCCTCTAGCCTCTTGTTAATAATGGGTAATTCGTTAGGAGCTGTTTAAAAATTTAAATTCTGATTGAATGTTTTCTGTTATAAAGAAAAAAGATACTTGCCACTGCTTTTCTGTTATATTATATTACCCTGGCCTGATCATACTCTGATATTTATAAATGAACTTGAATTCCCAGAATTTTGAACAAATGTTAATGTGTTAATTTCTATGTTAATTTGTTATTTTAAGGGATAATTTTTCTAGGTGAACTTCACTACACATCTATATTCTCAAATGTGAAAAATTTAGAAAGAATGGAATGAGGCTTTTGTTTCCATTTTTTGGCCAGTAATATACTGTATTGACATTAGTAGCTGGAAAAAAAATCTCATGCCACCACCTGCAGACCTGTGACCCAACACTGAAATTAGTTTACCTTCACTACTGCATTCACCTTCCTTTTTTATTTTCTGCTGTGATTTTTCTGTTTCTTCTTCTTTATCCTTTACAACTCTATCAGGTGGTGCCCCCCCATTTCTATAGTTTCCCAGCACTACTGTTGGATGGAGATGTGCGCTGAAAAAAATATTACTCCTTTTAATTTTAGCTCTGAGTTTAGTTGAACATATTGTGTAGTTATTATAAATTCTTTTTAGACTTTTTCTATGCATACCATCAGAAGTTATAATTAACAGCATATCTCTGACCAGGGCTGGTTACAACTTTCATGTGCCCAGCATCATTTTTAGAAATGGTAGAATGGTATTAAAAACTCACCAAAAAGATTCTTCAGCTAAAGTGTCAGTATTGAAAGAGAGTTGCCACGACTGAAGATGAACACAAGCTACTGTTTAACAGCCCTTTTACTACTTTACTTCCTCATGGCTTTTGCCACTACACTGCTGTTTGCTTGTTTTTTTTTAAATTTCAGTTCTACCAACTCCATAGTTCATTCCTCAGTCCTTTGGTTCAGACAATAAGTTGCAAATAATTGGGCTGAAAAGGCTCTTTGAGTTTTTGAATGAAGGATATCTTTCTTTCTTTCTTTCTTTTTCCCCTTCCTCCCATTCTATATCTGGATAATGGAGACTCAAACAAGGACTCCATTAATGCTTACTGTATTTCTAAGAAATGTGTATGTACAGGATGTATCTATCTTGAATAGATATATAGCTATCAAGTAATAGCCTATTAGGACCCCCCCACAAGAAAAAAAGAGCATCACAGTTGACTGTACACACAGAAGTAGTTTGAATATAAGATAAGTGAATAAGGTTTTCAATTCCATACTTCAAATCCCTCTCATGTCTGTTTTATCCTGCAAAATTTAGTTTCCTCTCTTTCACCAGCATTTTTTTGCATCTTTCTTCACAGAGGGCTTGGGAATCAGGGCTTCTAAATATGAAACAGATCCCCAACTTATGGTGCAGACATTTTCATTCTGGCCAATAAATTTAACTTTCCCTGCAAAAAGGTTGCTTATTAGTACTGCTGGGAGAACTTTGCTGTGGAAATGAATCAGACAGCTAGTGGGCACCTCGGGCACTTTTACACATGATCCGATGTATTCTGATTAGAACATGTTGGAGCAGACACAATAAGTTGAGTCTGCTGGAGTGTTCTAATCGGAGAACTCCAGCATGCTGCAACGTCTCGTGCATTCAGCATCCCATATTTCAAAATGGCGGCAGGGGTGTTTTAACTAAAATTTATCAAACGAGCTTTAGTTAAAGTGCCCCACCACCATTTTGAAATGCAGGCTGCTGAATACACAAGACACGGGCATTTTAATTAGAGCAGCTCCTGAGATTAGCAGTGTAATATGGGGAACTACAGTGCTATACTATGGTTTCTTTCTAAAGGTTAACTCTAATTCAGGGGCAGGCAAAGTCCAGCCCATGGGCTCGATCCAGCTGGCAGTGGACTCCATTTCTCAGCAGCCCCTGCCCGCATGGCTGGGGACGGTCTCCATGGAGACCCCAGCTGCAGCAGTGCTGTGACAGCGCAAGGCTGGGGTTGCCATGGAGACCAGCCCCAGCTGTGCTGACAGAGCATGTGCAGGGCAGGGCAGGGGGCTGCTCTGGAGTCTCTGGGGTCTTGTGGCAGGGGCAGCTTGAGCTGGGGCTTGGCAGAGTTGCGATCTGCAGCCTACATGCTCCAAGCAGGGGCATGCAGGCAGCGGATTGTGACTGTCCTGGCCCCAGACCACGTTACCCCCACCCCAGGATACCTGCAGCTCCAGAGCAGCCTCCTGCCATGCACCCTGCCAGTATGGCAGGGGCTAATCTCCATGGCAACTCCAGCCTTGCACTCATCACAGTTCAGCTGCAGCTGGGGTCTCCATGGAGACTGGCCCCAGCCATGTGGGCAGGGGCTGCTGGGAAATGGAGTCCAGCTGCCAGCCAGATCCACCATTTTGCCCAACCCAAGCACAAAGTGAGGCAGGCATACCATGGCAGGTCAGCAATTTACTTGGTGGGAACTGGACAACTTAAGGCGGGCGGTAGCTGACCAGTGGAACTCTATACCATTTTACTCTATGCCAACTGAGCTGAATTT